TATGACGAAAATAACAGATGCAGCAACGAGACAGGCAGTTCAAAGTGCCTATGACGCCGTTAGAGCAACTGTTGTGGAAAGTCAAGAAAAAGAGTTACAACAGACCAAAACAGACCTAGTAAATGCTTTCTTAAAAACGAAAAGTCAGGTAGGACATTACGCTGCAGATGGAACATATGTGCCAGCTGGTGGAACTTATATACCACCAAACCCTCCAAGAGAAGCACCTGCACCAGGACTACCTAGAACATTTACATCGTCACATGGACACAGACACAGGCATGCCACAACAACCAGCACAACAACCACCTCCACAACCAGCACAACAACCAACACAACAACCAGCACAGCAACCAACAGTTCAAAACCCTGCAAACAACAACCACAAACAGAGCAAGGACATAAAAGAAGTAGAGAACAAGGAAACCAAGAATTCTTAAAAATGCTTAAAGAAGAGTGTGGTTTCCCAGATACTGTTGACTTTAGTGACAGATATAAAGAAGCTATTAGAAAGTTCAAGGATGGAAATACTGACCCGAACCTATTTAGCTTTATGGCTCAGCACCAAAACGGATATAATCTCAAACCTGGAAAATACAAGCTCGCTAAGGGATATGATTTAATAGCATATCATCCAAATGACATGGATGAATTTACTCCGAGATATTTGATGTCAGAGCTAAATGACAATTCAACTTTCGTCATGAAACGCGTAAAAAATAGAGACGGAACGAAAGAACAAAAGCTTATGAATGCGGATGACGTAGATAGGGAAATTGTTGAAAACGGTCTCGGAATATATGAAATGCCAGCAGATGAGGTACAAGAAACTCCACAGGAAGAAGTTCAGATACAACCAGACATGGAAGAAATAGTTCAGCAACAACAGCTAGAAGAGCCTGAAGGAAACGAACAAGTCCTTCCTTTGGAAACTAACTTCACAGAACTAGATGAAGATTTGGAACAGCCGAAAAATCTTGACCCTCAACAAGAGTATGCGGAGAATATGGAATATTTCCAAGAGTCTAAAAAAAATTCGGCTGACATAGTAGAAGAATATCGAAAAATGTTTGCCGACATACAAAAGACTCCAACATCAGATGAAAATATCCAGCATAGAATGGAAGAACTGAAAAAAAATGTACACAAATACAACAACCCTTTTTACTTACGAGCATTTAACGTTCAATCTTCGGATGAACTCGGTGAAATAAAAGGTTAAATTTCAAGAAAACATATAGAAATGAAACATTGTTTAAAAGTTCATTCAGAACCTAACCAAGATGGAAACAAACCTACTTTTGTTTCTGCAGACGATGGAACTACAATGAGATGGGGTCATAAAGCTAATCCAGATAGGTGGTTCATAAACTTACAACCTCAATTCCAAGAAGTTGTAGACGCAATGGAAGTGAATGGTGAACCAGATGTAGCTGGTATTTTCAGCGCGGCTTTAATGCCATTGAAAGATATGAAAGATGCAGATATTTTGGACCGGTATGAAATGAACATGGCTGATGGAAATATAACACCTGACGTTCTAGAACATTTATCTCAAAGAACTACACAGAACCATAGAGATGGTATATTTGGTGAAGAGTTTAGAAAGAAAGTTAGGGATAGAGAAGGAAGAGAACCTATTGTACATGACCTTGCAAACGAAAGTTTACAAAATGTCATAAAAACTTACTTTGCAGACAATGAACCGAGAAGGGATGAATATTTAAGAAAACTCAAATGGACAGTACCAAATGAAATGTTAGTATTGAAAAAAATGTTCCTTGACAAAAATAAACCAACTACAGAAATAAACGACGCAAGACTGAAAGATTGGGTAGAAGCTTTCCCATTCACAAAAGATATAGTTGGTAACATGGAAAGAAAACCAGAATGGCTACAAAAACATATATTTGAAACGAGCTTATTCCATATGGACAGGCTCTGTTTGAAGAGCTTGAACCGGAAACTCAGGAAAGAGTCATGCAAACAATACGCGAAGACTCAAATACAAACTATGACAAACTCTTTCTAGGATATAGGGTACCTGAGATGGGCGACCAGAGCCCAAAGGCAAAAGGACATGGGAAATTTACAACATACTAGGTGAACATGAGGCAAAGATGCAACAACTTGAAGCAGAGGGCAATGAAGGAAAAGAAGAGTTAAAAAACTCAGTCAGGAAGAAAGTAAGCTTGGTCCACGTGGGTTCTATTATGACATATAAATCCAACTATTCTATATTTTTACTCATATGAAATGTACGCCGCTCAGAATATAACGCAACAGTTTTGGATGCTATGAATGGAAATGTTTCCGAATGGTATAACGAATGCGACATGCCATTAGAAGGTCAGAAATAGTTCCTGGACTTAGAATATACACTGCTGTTTCTTATGGAAACGTAGGTGAGTTTGGAGAAGGTTCTTCAACAACAGTAGATATTGCTTGCGACAGGTTTCATATTATTTCTATTGACAACTCTTTCTTATACGTGGAACAAGACATTGAAATAAAACCTTCTGCCAAGTTGTCTGACAAGAAAGGTTGCAATGGAATTTTCTATGTCGGATACAATATGCTCCAGAAGTTTTCATGGGATATAAGATATATTCTAACTCTGATTAGTTCAAAACGTAAATGGGCAAACTATGAATGGTTCGCTTTGAGAAACTCAGTACAACCAAAGCTAGAGAACAAACAGACCAATATGCAACTATTGAGAAAATAAGAAGACTTGACCCTAACGTTCCAGGAGTTTATGTTAACCTTTCTGGACAAACTGCAGCAGCAGTAACCAAAGTAATTGAAACTTAGAGTTCCTTTGTCATCTTTCCTCATCTTCAGGTTTTTAAGATACTTGCCAAACTGGGCAGGAAATTTCTATCGAATTACTCCAAGCAAAAATAACTTAGTCATTGCACCAACACAAGACCCATTCACTCTTACAGACGTAAAGGGAGCAAATCAAACGTCATTCGCCGACTTTTGCAAAGACAAAGTTGACTTAGACTTTGGTTTCTCAAACTCAACACTGAAGTAAACTATTATTTCAATGCTGCTGGAGATGCTTGGGACCCAGTTAAGTTCACATGCGAAAAGTTTGAATGCAAGAGAATAGAAAGCAGACTTGCAGTCTATATGTTGGACCCAGATATTTCAAATGCTTTAGCTGCCAAATATATTGCAGTTCCGCTTATGTTCCCTATACACCAAATATCTGTCAAAGACTTTGCAGGTGAAGTTGGAAACCAAAGTGCTGACCCAGGTGCAAGAACAGATATTGCCTTAACAACTGCAATGAAACATGCAGATACTATGTTTGTACTGTTCAGACGAACTATAAATGACTATTCTTGCTTCTACAACCCTGGTATTAAATACCATATAAACATAGATGGCAAATACTATCAAGAGAAGAATATTCTACAGTTGAGGATATGAGGTCATACAACTTGACATTAGATGCTATGAACTTTAACAACAACTTCACAACAACCATTAACCCTGAAATGCAAAGTTCTATTATGCCATATGTGAAAGTATGGACCCATACAGGAGCTCAAAACACTCAATATACAAATGGAGACCGTTCAAACTTTTGGCTTGGCATTCCATTTGCTGACTCAGAAGACTTTATGGGTGGTATTTCAACTGTTGGTACAGTTCAAATACAATATACTGGTGACAGAGACGGTCCAAATGAATTGAAAGCAAAGAAGTTTACAAAACCAATAGCACTTTTCACGGGAAGATGCTCTTTTGAAGATTCGTTCGATGAAACCTGCTGGGGCTCCTCAGATTGGCATAACGACAGCTTCCATCGAGCAGATTTTGGCAGCAGGTCAGTAAGTTGTTCTTGAACTGACTTCTCTCCGTCAAATATTGACAGTACGCCAGTTTTGATATAATATTGTATTAAAAACTTTCCTTTAGAAATATCGGTCAGTTTTGTTGTTATATTTTTGTCTGCTTCAAGAACTTTCACCATCTCGGTTATACCAACTTTCTTTGCTTTATGAAAATATTTTGGTTCAGCAAAGACTGCTATTCTATAACATTTTCCATTGTTTGTATAAAGAACTATTCTATCAATGAACTTGTATTGTTTGTGTGTGTAAACTTTGTTCTGCTTCAATTCGAAGAGATACTCGAATACGTCCATCTTTTTATTCTAAGTAAAATGTCATTTCCGAAAAATAGAAGCGTGAGTGTTTCAAAAGGTTTAATGGCGGTGGCAGACGTGAAGTTAAATTCACCAACTCAAACAAACAGTCAAAGTGTTGTTGTCAATGTCAAAGAAAGAGATGTTGAAGTGGGGAAACCATACGAAGACGAAGATGGTATAACAATAGTTCCTGTAAAAGAACAACCAACATATCCTGAAGTTAGCAGAGACTTAAGTTCTGTTGCAGATATTCGAAACGACTACCAACAACTGAAAGACAAACTTAAAACTCAGGAGAAGATTTGTCAAGCTTTAAGTATAATGTTAAACTTGGTTGAGCACAACCCTGTAAAAGTGAACTCATATGTCATCGCACCTCGTGAAGTTTTGAAAGAACTATTGAAACTTTTGACAGAGGCAGACGATATAAACATCAAAGAAATAGAACCCGACATTGCTTGCTGTGGTGTTTCATATAATGTCATTGACAAGATATACGTTATGAAAGGAGGTGAAACGTTGAACTTAAAATATAGTTTCCCAGACGTCATAAAAATATTTGACGACCACAACATTTCATTAAAATTTACTTGCTAAGTAAAAATGGCAGAAGACATAGTGGTTTATACTATTACGACTAAAAACCCTGAGTCATATAATTCTATAACAACAAACTTACAAAGTCCTCAAGGACGATATTGTAAACTGACCTTAAACACGATGACGACTAAAGCCTGTTTTGCTCTTTTGACACCAGAAGACTTTGTTGTTGTGAATGGTAAAAAATACTTCTTTGAAGATACTTACTCAGATATACCACCAACAGGTTTTGTTGACTTATTTAATACTTTAAGGACGGATGTAACATGTGCTGCAACTAGAGCAGGTTTCATTATGTTTGGATGTCCGACTGAGTTTAGTATAAACGATATGAGCTATAATACAAAACTTATATCTGGTTTTTACTACCAACAGTTTCCTATAACAGGAAAAGGTGTCATACAAGGAATGTCTATTCCATTGACATTAAGCACACCAATCTTATATATTGTTTCAAACTTAGGTTCAAAGTGCTATTCGAATGTCGACAGAAACTACTATGACCAAAAGATACTCATGCGTATAAACAACACTTTCTCTGCTGGTTTGCCTATTGTTCATTCGAATGCAGAATTTTCAACCTTAGTGAACTCAAACACTTTGGCAAGTATAACGTTGACATTAGTTGACGCAAACTTTGTTCCTGTAAAACTTTTATGTCCTATGTATTTGTCAATGACGGCAGAAAGTTTCGAATTGGAAGATGCAACTGGTGAAAGTATTGTATTACAAGAACAACTTCAACAACAAATAGCTCAAGAACAACAAATGCAACAAATGCAACAACAAAGTCAAGAATAAAAAAATATTATTTTTTTTATTTTTATAAAAATGTACAGAATAGATGTTTCAGATTTTTATGACTTCCAAGCATTCAGAAATATGTGTCCATTTAGAGACTATAACAAAGCAGTCGAGAATTTGAAACGTTTAGTCATTTATGTTGACTCTGCCCCAGAATGTTATGTTATGAAAGAGTGGGATGTTGTCTTTAACAAACCAAGAGCAACCATAGTTTCAGAACAAGAATGTAGACAGAAACTTAAGAAAATAAAAGTCGTACAAGTTGGCATGAAGATGTTAGATGCTTGGGATATCTATTGTCAAAGTTAGAAGATTTTTCAGTTCGAGGTATAAAGTTCTATACACCATCTCCAAACTTCTATTCTATCTTCACTGGATATAAATACGAACAAGTAGAATGGAAAGAAAATGTTATAGAAGCTTGGTTAGACCATGTCAAAGAATTATATGCAATGGAAACGAAAGAGTCTATGAGTATAATCTTATGTTGGTTTGCAAACATCTTACAACATCCAAGTGCTAAAATGAAACTGCTCTCATTATAATTGGAAAACAAGGAACTGGTAAGAACACTTCTTTACAGATATCTTATGCAAACTGTTAGAGGGCTATTCGAACCCTAATATGACAAACTTAGAAAACATCTGCGGTAAATTTAACTCCTAATAGAGAATATGAAACTTATAGTATGTAACGAACTTCAAAGTATAGATACAACAAAGGTTTTAAACTCAGATGCTTTGAAGAGTCTTATAACAGACAAAGTTGGAGTTGTTGAAAGAAAATATAAAGACCAAAGAGTTTGTGAAAATGTTGCAAATTTCATCATGGGTTTCAAACAATGTTGTTCCGATGAAGTTAGAAAGTTCTGACAGAAGATATGTAGTTGTCAGAACGTCAGATTCTCATATGCAAGATACAGAATATTTTGACGACTTAGCAGAAACTTTGACACCTAACTTTTACAACCACTTGTTCTCATATTTCATGACATTAGATATTTCTAAGTTCAATCCAAGACAAATTCCACATACCGAAGAAAGACAAACATTGTTAGAAGCAACAAGAGTGTATATGAACTGTTCATAGATGAGACTAACTTTGAGTGTTTAGATGAAAGGTCATTGTACGATGAATATAAACAATATTGTCAAGAATATGGTTATATGGCAGCTTCTAAACGAACATTCTTGGCAAATGTCAAAAATCTTTTAGATGTTCAGAATGGCGTATATACAAAGAAAAATTTTTCTGAGTAAATTTTAAAAAAATATTTTTTTATCCGATAGAAAAGATGATGAAATTCATCTCAGTCAACAAGTACATGTCAGAAGTCAAAGATAAGTTAGACCCATTCACATATTTGAATGTTTACTTCTACCATTTTGAAAAGTCTTCATTCAGCAAAGTTTGGAACATCGAACCAGTTAAGTTTGCTATTGTGACTAAAAATGGTGCGAAAT